AATTTCGATTTATCTTTTATCTATGTCGATCGACCAATCAAATTTATGATAGCGTTATATTAATTTACGTGTTGCACAAATTTTTATTATGCAACAAAAACAACCACGTAACAGAAGAAAACAACAAGATGAACGGATACCCATCAACTACTGGCACTTTTTCTCTCACACCAGCTGCTAGTTGCAATTAATTGAGGAAGTGATGTTTGACAGTTGGGAGAATAATTAGCCGAAAGAGAAGGCGAATTATCGTGGTAAATGAAGAATCGGGTTAGAGAATGTGATTATTACCAAAAAGCAAGCATTAAAGAGTATCAATTAATCAATTAATCAATCAATAATCCTAACAATATGGAGACAGCAAGCAAATTGAGTGCAAGTAATTATTTGCAAAACAAGAGATTTTTTGCAAGATCTGGGTATTTTTGTTTCAGCAGCTAAAAACAAGAAATTAGTGCCGCTACTTTAGCATTTTCAAGTAGTAGAAATTAAAAAAACGGTTTAGTTTGATGAATTAGAGAAGGAGAGAAGAATGCTTGTTATTTAAATATTGATTTAATAGGTGCTTCTAGGTTGATCAATAATTTAAAGAATAGTATTTTCTTTTTGTTCATTTTCATAGTCATTCAGGAACTAAACAAAAGACTTAAGAAAAGGAAAAGCCCAAAATAAAGCCAAAGCAAAAACTAATTGAATTGATCCAGATAAAGCATGATCAACTAAAGTGAAGGGAATTTATACATTTGGATTGATCGCTCTGATTATCTTGGGAAAAACCAGATATAATTGTGGTGTTGACCCTGAAATTTCTTTGTGAAATAATGTTCATTTTGTCTGGCATATATTAATATATTTAGTATTGGCACAAAAAAACAAGTTTCTCAATTTTGTTGTTGCTTTCATAAAAAGTTTCTTATCTTTGATGCAGTGTAATATGCGTAATCATACATTTTGCCATAACAATAATAATTACTATATCTCTGCGAAACATGGCTTTTACTTTGACACTAAACAAAGCAGGAAACAATGGAACGGGTTGTTGGTCATTTGACTAATTACGTTAATACAGAAAAATGAATAAAGTTATTATTTAAAATTGCATAGTTATTTGTAATAATCCAGAAGAACTTATCAATCCTTTAAGGCTTAACAACTCGAATATAGTATTTGGCATTTGAAAGAAGAACGAGTGGAATTTTCTATCACATTGACAGGATATTTCGAATTCCGCTCATTTCAAGTGTATTTTGAAAAATGGTTAGTAAATAAGATTCGTGTGTAATTTACGCCCTACTATATACTACTACGTTTCATTTCGTTTTTAGCAACATCGCAAAACAAAGAAATTCTCACGCCTCATACTTCTACTGTTACACATGCAAATTTTACTTAAAAACAATTGAATGAATGAAGACCAACTTATCGAGTTTAATAACTTGTTTTTTTAAACATCACATATTGACTGACTGAGATGCTTTAAAAATAACCAGTTTTTTTCGAAACAAAATTTCGAGCCCTGGTATAACGTGCATTGATTATCACTTTATCCCCTGAAATTTTTTTCTATAAAAAATTAAAATTTTAAATTTAAAAAAAAATTTCCCCAATTTTTTTTTCGTAAAAAATGAATTACGACATCAAACAAATAAATGACCCAATTCATGTAAATAAATATATTTTAAAATCTATAATAAAAAAAATCATTAAACTGAAAATCAAAATAATTTTTTTACATTGTTATTGTAGGGATATATGGAATTTGATGATTGGGCTATAGAAGTCATCGACACACCAGAATTTCAAAGACTAAGAAACATTAAACAATTAGGAAGCACATATTATGTTTTTCCTGGAGCAAGCCATAATAGATTTGAGCATTGTTTAGGGGTTGCCCATTTATCAAATAAGCTATTGAAAAAATTCTATCAAATTCAACCTGAATTAAGAGCTGAGAACGAGTTGGACCTAGAGTGTGTGACGTTGGCAGGTTTATGCCATGATTTAGGTCATGGACCTTTTAGTCATGTTTTTGATAATCGTGTTATTCCTAAACTTAAACTTGGGTAATTTATTCAATTGTTTTTATTATTATTTATTATTATAATTTTACATTTTTATATAATGTTATTTTATTTAGAGTTGAATGGAGTCATGAAGAGGGGTCGGTAAAGATGTTTGATCATTTAATCGACGAGAATCATATTGATTTGAATCCAGAAGAGGTAAAACTTATGTCAAGGGCTTCGACTTTAGTCAAATCGTCAAAATGGCCCTGGTAGAAACTACCTTTAGTCAATACTTTAGTTACGTCAATGACTAAAGTCAAAAATTTCGTCATACATCAATAATTAAAAATATATTTTACGTTTTCCTTCCAGGTTTTCCTCTAGATCTAAGGAATGAATCAAATAGAAAATCAAGAAGAAGCATGTATTTTCCACAAGGAATTTCTCTCAAAGACCAAGATTATGCGTGCAAAATAATTAGCATTGAACTTTTTAAAAACAATTTTTGTTGCATAGGCCCATTAATATTGCATGGCATATCAGTGGAATATGGAGAAGGTACTCGACATTTCATACATGCATTTTAAAAAAATATATTTATGTACTTTCTCCTGAATTTCATGAGAAGAACATGGTCAAAGAATACATTGGAAGTAGGTAGTATCTTATGTATTTGAAGAAGAGAGTCACAGAATGTCAAGGTTATGGCAAAAATGAGAGACTATTATCTCATGCATAAGCTAAAGTTGCTTGCCGAACTAGGAAGTTTCAGCAGAATGTCATATGAGAAACTGCCAAAATAGTTTCAGCAAATCATTCTGAAATGCCGAAATGCCAAAACCATAGTTGACTTTTGGTATAACTGCTAGTAAGATTTAATAAATTTCATCCTAGAGGTTGGAAATCTGGCATAATTGTCTAAATTTTTTTGGTCAATTAATATTAATATTCAAATAATTAATCTACTAAATAATTGACTATTTTAATTATTTTTTTGAATAAGGGAAATAAAATGAAAACAAATACATAAATATATATATATATATATTTGAATTTAATGATTTAATAGCAAGCCTTTTTGAAATAAAGATTTAGATTGAGCCAATACTTTTCCTCTGAAAATTCAAAAGATACAAATTGTGATTCTGGCCATTCTTTTTAAAATATTGAAGTAATGACATTATATATATTAAAGTTGGTTTTTTTTATGCGTATAGAAATCTGCACAAAAAAAAAATAATGATAAAAAGGAAAAATATCTGGCAACTTTTTTTTTTCCAGAACTTCATAAAAATCGGAAATATATATTTGACTTAATTTCTCTTAGAGTAGAGGAATAGTGGATGTTCCATATTTTTTCAAAGTAATGGAAATTTGATTATCTATCCACACAATCATTTATCATTATATCATAGGGTTGGCTCAGTCTAAAGACCTCCTATTGCTGCGCCATATGACCAAATAATAAAAAAATTTAAGACTTCACAAATAATTTTTTTGGGAATATCTCGTTATTACATTAAAACTAAAGACCTATTCTATCAACTAATAATGATACTTTTTTAAAAAATTTGCCTCCTTGATGTTCTTTTTAGCAGTTTTTTTGAAATATTTGTCATTATAGCTTTTTTTAATATTGAAAAAATTTTGTGTAGTGTATAGTAAATATTAAATAGAATTGAGTGGATTCACCTGGTTGCTACAAAAGGTATAGATCTTCAAGTTAAAGTCTACTTTTAGTGTCAATAAGAATAATTAGCATTATTCTTTTATAATTATGTTTGTTTTCTGACATGAAAAAAACTTTAATTTTATCAATTAGTTTGTGCTCAAAAGATTTTATAGATGCTTATTATCATTTAAAATATATAATTAATTAAAAGAAAAAAAAGTTCTTGTTTATTCATAATCATGTATTTGATTAAACATCCCCTCATAATATATATACATAATATATATTGCCAATTATGTATATTGTTCATATTTATTTTGAAATCTAAATTGTGAATTCAATTATATTAGCAGATTTAAATACAGAAATAATACCACAAGGATATTTTTAATTTAGTAGACAATATGATTTATAGGACTGACCTTCCACAGACAGGCAATGATGATTACTGATAAATTACCATTCCACTTGCTGAATGGTCATACTAGTTTTAAAAATCCTAAATCTTGATATTCTTTTAATAAATCAACTATCCCATCATTGTTCAAAGAATGGTTATCATATCCCAATAAACTCAATTCAAGGGGTTTAGGTCCTTGCCAATTATTCATCAAAACCCCCAGCGAATCATCAGAAATGATGATTTTATGTGCAATACTTAAAAATCTCAAGTTTCTTGGTAATGCCTGATTTAAAGCTGCCAATACTTCATCAGCATTCACTATAGCATCCTCACCAATTTGAGACAATGCAATGGATTGTAATTTAACGCAGTTATTAAATACTCCAACCAAATATTGCATTACTTCATCCTTGTAAAATATTGATAAAGATGTTAGATTATGACAATTTTCTCCAACTAATTGAATCACCTCTCCTAAATATTGAACATCAATTGGATAGCCCTCGATTATTAACAAATTAAGAAATTTTCCATTGATTTTAATGAAAGAAGAAAGGTCTAATAAAAATGGAGAGTTGATGAGTGAAATAACCACCTTTACGATATTTTTAAATGATATAGATTTAAAACTTGACAGACTGCTATTATCAGCAAATCCATTATCAAAATTAATTAATGACAATGAATTTAAATTTTTTAATGTTGGAATTATCACAGAATCTAAATTATTTTCTCCAACACTATCATAGTCGATTATTGATTCTGAATGAATTGATATGGCTTTTTTGAAATCATCAGAAAAAACTAGATTGTCAGCTGAACGAATAGATAATCTTTTGATTTGATCTTGTGCTTTAACTAGCTGAGTTAGACCATAATCAACATCATTGGTAAATAAGTACTCACTACTATAATCTATATATAATTCTTGAATTTTTTTACATATTTTTGCAATTTTATCAAAAAATTTGTGCCCATTAGGAAAGTTGCAATCCAATTTATAAAGATCTTTAAAACTAGCATCAAATCTATTATGATTGATTAACCAATCGCACTCAATGTCAATAACTTTAAGCCTTTTGATATTTGTTGAATGATCCAAAATAAAGTTTGCTAATTTTTCATTCAAAACTTTAAGTTTATATGATTCCTGACCATTTATCAGCTCCTTTAAAAATTTTCTACTTCGGCAGAGATTTAATTCAGTGGTAAGTTTAGCATAATTGTATAAGGGTGGTTTCTCCAATAGTTTAAAAGGCAATAAAATGTTATTTTCCTTTAAGAAATTTTTATTTTCTTCCATTAGTAGCAACAAACAATTGATTAATATTTTGGTGCTGCCAGCAGAATAAAATGGATTTCTCCATAAAGCTGGAATGTTAACACTATGCCATTGCTTATTAACTAGGACACAAGAATGTAATGTGTTATAATCATTTTCGACGCATCCGAATATTGATATCATGAGTTCAGGTGGTAAATTTATTGTTGACATTACAATGTTAATTTTTTTTTTTTATAAACAATGATTTGCGCAACTGAATCCAAAATTGCACATTTTCAAAGATCGCCGATAAATGATTAAAAAAAATGAATGCATTTTTTATTGATGTAGGTTTGTATGTGCGTATGTGGATGTTTATGTATATGAAAATGTGTTTATATTTGTAAAATATTTATGCGTATGCGTGAAAATATATATTTCTTAATTAAATAAATAAATAACTAACTATAAATAAAAAATAAACAATAATAATGTTGTCATGATTGCTCAAAATCTTAATTTTTTACATGTTGATGAATGATCTTAAAACATTTCTCCATAGTTTGCTACTAACAACTGATTTATTCTATTCACCCATTCACTAGCTGCTCCATTTGGATCTTCAAAATAATAAGTTTTTCTAGGCTAACAAAAAACAAAAAAAAAATAGATTCAAAATTAAATTCAAAAGATTCTAATATAATAGTAAAGAAGATGGTAACAATGGTAATGATGATGATGATGATGATAATAATAATAAATAATACATACTGTATGAACAAAAAAATATTTTCTATTTTTTAATTCAACAACCATTCTTGAACTCCAATATATTTCACCTTTTTGTTTCATTCGTTCTTGATCAGCATATATTAGCCTAGGAAAATCTGTTAAAATTAATAGACATTTCTTAGAAAAAAATCCTTTTCGTTTATTTATGGGTCCAGAATGAACAACTAGCTCCGATTTGAGTAGGAATGGAAGGCTAATATATATATATATATATACATATAAACATGTAACGTTAGAAAAATAGACATATCAAATATGTTTAAATACCATAAAGTATTATTAAATGATTGCCTGTTCTTATTCCTCTACTCAAACAAATAATTGTTCACAACACAATGAATGCTATTTGGAATGTAATTGTTTTTTATATGTCAATTCTTAGTAAACATTCTGGTCTTGGGACAGTTCTTGTTATTATTATTTATTTGTATAACATCGTAATTAGTTATTTAGTAGAAATTAATGTAGATTCACATTTAAAAGACTATTACTATATTGCATTTTAAAAGTTATTCAGACAGAATTAAATCGCAAATTTGTGCAGATTCATAATTAAATTGTTGAATAGTAATTAGGGTTAGTGATGTTAGCCAGCTAAGGAATTTTTAAACAACTTAGCCAGCCAAAAAAATTTTCTCTTGACATTCCATTTTTACATCTGAAATTTCAGCACAGAATTCAATGGCATAGACATTTAATTTAGATGGATCCACCTACATTACTTAGAATAACAAAAAAAACATACATTCACTCAAAAAGCAAAATAAAATACATCATAGCAGGATAAAAGTCATAGATTTTCTATTCATAATGCAAATTCTTATTTTAATTCAAATTATTCATTTATTCAAATAAAACTTCAATGTAATTCAAATACTCAAATTCCTAATGAAAAAAACAAATAATTTGAACCACTAAAGACAAGATATTATAATAACAATAGTAAATAATAGTAATAATAATAACTATAGTAGTAGTAACAATAATACCAGCTAGCTTAGTACCATCTGAAAAGGTTTTCATCAACTGGGATTTATTAAGTTCTTCGCTGGCTAAGTTTTTCTATTGGCTAACATCACTAATTAGAGTGCTATATTGCAACAAAATTGTTATCAAGTAATTTAATTGTAAATAAGAAACTTGAATTCAACATACTTGTAAAAGAACTTTGCAAGAAGTTTAATAACTTTGTGATAAGTTACTTAGAAATAAGTTGATAAATTAGTTTTAACTAAATAAAAAATTTCTTTATAAAATCAATAAAAAAATTATCTGTTAATAAAACTAATTTGTTAGTAATGGCTGATCCACATAATCATTAATTATTGTTATCACCAATTATTACACTCTCCAAAATAATAATTGGTCTTAAAAACAATTCCAATAAAATAATTTAAGTATAACGTAATTGTAAATCAGATTAGATCATTTCTTCTATTCTTCTTCTTTCCTTTCATTATTCTCAGTAATTTTTTGTTAATTTAATGAGGATCCAACACAATTGTAAATGAGACCGCCAGTTTTGAAATCAAAAATGCATTCTTTACATTCCTAAATCATGAGTTTCGAAATTAAATCTGGTATTAGTATGGTATGTTAATTATAAATGTCTAAAATTTATTTTTCACAACCAATGTTGGTGATGCTACCTCTGTTAATGAATGACTTGGATTCTCAATTTTCTACTGCTTAATACAAGTAAGTGTTTATCATAAGAATGGTAGTGGTGGCTATTGCCAGTCATTGTCACTCTAGTTAAAATAATAAGAATCATATTAATATTTAATAAATGTGTTATATACACTCACTAGACAAAAGTCAGGCGCATTTTTAAACAAAAATTGTGCAAAAACGCACACAATAAAAACACAAATAACTTATATCATTTTGTAGCCTAGGTTCTCAAAATTTTGCATGCAAAA